TGGGAGTTCTGGGAGGGAAGGGTCTTCACAGGCTGGTCCTCGTCCGTCGACTGGAGGAATCGGGAGGGATATGTTTTAGGGGAAAGCTGCAAGTGTTGATACTATGGGGATTCTATCGTTTTCTGAATTCATTCCTCATTATTATTAACTGCAGCGTCTGTCTTATGCATTTAAAAATAGAGCATAAAGATATATATATATAATTAATTCATAAACATCTCGGATATTATCAGACAAAGTCACTGCTTTATTTTTCTTCATTGTGATGTAAAGATACAGAGCTACTCAGAGCTTGAGAGACAAGCTAACTTTAAAAAGTCCTATCGCCTTTTAACGAACGCCATCCTTACCTTGAGAGACTCTGTAGACACAGACAGACACAGAAGGGCCCGCTCGAGTGCCGTGAACCGCTGCGGCGTGATGTCCTGGGCGCTCCTCAGCTCCTTCTCCGGGAACCAGGCTGCCTCCTCCTCGGCCAGCAGGCGGAATCCAAGGGCGCTGCGGAATGGGTGAGCTCTCTCTAATAGTTGTCATTTTCACTTAGTATTTGTAAATTTGAGTGAAAAAAGCAATGTGTGAATGGTAAATGTAAAAGAAAAATATTTTTCTCATCCTCCTCTCTCCCTTACATGTAGAAATTAGCATACTAGACGAAACAGTTCGAAATTTACTAGACAAAGTAAGTTTACTAGACATATCACGTTAACACACCAAATTAACTACGCTGCACACTAAATAAAATACACTGATACACTAGAATAAAAGTGCATTGACGTAATAGACAAAACACGTTGACATACTAGAGAAAATATGACGGTATACTAAACAAAATACGCTGACATACCAAACAAAATACACTGACAAACCAGACAAAATACACTGACAAACCAGACAAAATACACCGACAAACCAGACAAAATACGCTGACATACCAAACAAAATGCACCAACATACCAAGCAAAATACACCAACATACCAGGCAAAATACACCAACATACCAAACAAAATACACCAACATACCAAGCAAAATACACCAACATACCAGGCAAAATACACCAACATACCAGGCAAAATACACCAACATACCAAACAAAATTCACCAACATACCAAACAAAATACACCAACATACCAAGCAAAATACACCAACATACCAGGCAAAATACACCAACATACCAGGCAAAATACACCAACATACCAGGCAAAATACACCAACATACCAAACAAAATACACCAACATACCAAGCAAAATACACCAACATACCAGGCAAAATACACCAACATACCAGGCAAAATACACCAACATACCAGGCAAAATACACCAACATACCAAACAAAATACACCAACATACCAAACAAAATACACCAACATACCAAGCAAAATACACCAACATACCAGGCAAAATACACCAACATACCAGGCAAAATACACCAACATACCAGGCAAAATACACCAACATACCAAACAAAATACACCAACATACCAAGCAAAATACACCAACCTACCAGGCAAAATGAAAACCCCTGATCAAAGGCTAATCACTTACTTCGCGATGGGCACGAGAGGAATCCACATCAGGGGCAGAATCACCAAGATGGCGGCGATGCCCCACGCCCAGCTCGGCCACTGAAGGTTGACACTCTCGCCCAAGATCGAATCCCAAGCCTGGTAATTAAGGATTTAATTAGTCTAAAGGTAAATAGTAACTAAAGAAGAGAAAGAGAGATAAAAAAAATATCAGAAAAGGTACAAGTAGGAAATTTCTTGAATCCCAAATCAGTTATTGATAGAATTTTGTCTTCCTTCTTCTTTGTATTTCAAATGTGGATAATCGTTTACATGCTATCAAAAAAATGATTCTATATCCTTTCCCATTTCCCTTTCCCTCGTCCACATTATATTTGATTATATTTCCCACCAATTTTTGTCGTCTTTGTACCAGAAATTTCCTTCTTTTTTCATTTTTCACTTTTTCTTACCAAGTAGGTGCTGCCCTCTACCGCCATTTTGATGAGTGAGGCCGCCAAGATGGTGACCATGAGGAGAGGCGAAACCACTTTCCAACACACGAGCCAGTAAAGCGATGGACGAGAGCCACACATCAGTTCCACGTCGCTGGCGAACCTGAAGCGAGTTTTGGGAAATTAGACTGGAAAGGGAAATTTTGATAAAGATGATAATAAACATAGGAGGTATATATGTCTACAGAGGAGAGGGGCTAAGATGAGGGTTATTTCTTGTTTATGGACTGTCTTCGCTTCTAGTTCTCAGCAATTAGAATATCTATACTGATTTTAAAAGCATGTCATAGGAATACATATGTACACATGGACGTATACTTACACACACAGGTACTGTAACACATATATACATATATCCAATCGCAAGTACACCTGTAAATTCAAACGCAATTGCAAACATGACCCAAAAATACTTCCTAAGCACAGCCATACACTCCAACAAACACCCACTCATTCTCCTCAATTTTAAACTTTCCACTCACACATACTCCTCATCTTCCACCAATCAACTCACACACACTCCTCCCTTTCTATCCATACACACTCTCTTTCCAACTTTCTACCCACATATTCTCCTCGCTTTCTCTCTTTCTACCTATACACATACCCCCTTTCTCCCTGTCAACTCCCACACACACACACACTTTACCCTTTCTATCCATACACACTCCTATTTCAATCTTTCTACCCCACACATTCCCTCCCTTTCAACCTTTCTACCCACACGCTCTCCCCCCAACTTCCACCGTCCTGCCCACCCATACCCCTCATTTCCTCTTCCTTTCTACATCCACAAGACCTACTTCTTAATCCCGTAGATGTAGCTGATGCCCAAACACTCGAACAGCCCGATCACCAGCAAAGGGATGTTGCCAGCGAAGGAATCAAACAGCTGGAAGATATAGTTCCCGGCGCCGTGGGTGAACATAAGGGACAGGAAGAAGCAGACGAGGCACACCAGTCCTGCAGAAGGTGTTTGTGGTTAGCACTAGGGTAGGTTTGGGGTGTGGGGTGGGTATGTGAAGAGAGAGAGAGAGAGAGAGAGAGTTAGAGAGAGAGAGAGAGAGAGAGAGAGAGAGAGAGAGAGAGAGAGAGAGAGAGAGAGAGAGAGAGAGAGAGAGAGAGAGAGAGAGAGAGAGAGAGAGAGAGAGAGAGAGAGAGAGAGAGAGAGAGAGAATGAGAGAGAGAGAGAGAGAGAGAGAGAGAGAGAGAGAGAGAGAGAGAGAGAGAGAGAGAGAGAGAGAGAGAGAGAGAGAGAGAGAGAGAGAATGAGAGAGAGAGAGAGAGAGAGAGAGAGAGAGAGAGAGAGAGAGAGAGAGAGAGAGAGAGAGAGAGAGAGAGAGAGAGAGAGGAGGAGAAAGATGGGAGGGAGAGAGGGATGGGAGAGGAAGGGAGGTTAATTAGCAAAGAGCGAGTGCTTAAGTGAAGAAAGAGGAGGAACGAGAAAGAGAGAGAGAGAGAGAGAGAGAGAGAGAGAGAGAGAGAGAGAGAGAGAGAGAGAGAGAGAGAGAGAGAGAGAGAGAGAGAGAGAGAGAGAGAGAGGAGGAGGAGAAAGATGGGAGGGAGAGAGGGATGGGAGAGGAAGGGAGGTTAATTAGCAAAGAGCGAGTGCGTAAGTGAAGAAAGAGGAGGAACGAGAGAGAGAGAGAGAGAGAGAGAGAGAGAGAGAGAGAGAGAGAGAGAGAGAGAGAGAGAGAGAGAGAGAGAGAGAGAGAGAGAGAGAGATAGAGAGAGAGAGAGTGAGAGAGACAAAGACAGAGAGAGGGAGAGAGAAAAAGAGAGAAAGAGAGGGAAGCGAGGAAGAACACGCAACCAGTGCTACTCAGAGTACGCTCACCAGTGCCATTCCGCGTCGAGTAGAGTATAAAAGCACGAAAAAATATAAAAAAGTTTCATATAAACATACCATGTTTTTTCCATGGATTAATATATCTACAAATGTAAGATAATAATTTCCAGATCGTCAGTTATGTAGATAATAAACGTTTAATTGAGTCAGTTCATAAGAAAATATATGAATTAGAATGAGTAATTCCACAAAGCAAAATTAGTTATCAACGTTTCGAAGCACAAAAAACACCTTCCACCCTATAGAATAGAACCTAAAGAAAAAAAATACTTAGACCATACAAAAATTCCCTGAGGTCCCGAAAAGAAATCACGAAAGCCTAGAAACGAATACCTCTTGGCTTCCCTCCCTCTCACCTGACAGCGCCTCCTTCCTCATCTGCGGGAACACCTTGAGGTCGATGAGCGAGGAGATGACGCCCTCCAACGTGCCGAACTGGGAGTCTGCCCCGAGGGTGAACAGCATCAGGAAGAAGAGGATGGCCCACAGGGGAGGCAGAGGGAACTGGTTGATGGCCTCCGTGAATATGCACACACACACACACCACACACACACACACAACACACACACACACACACAACACACACACACACACAACACACACACACACACACAACACACACACACACACACACAACACACACACACACAACACACACACACACAACACACACACACACAACACACACACACACAACACACACACACACAACACACACACACACACCACACACACACACACACACAACACACACACACACACAACACACACACACACACACAACACACACACACACAACACACACACACACACACACAACACACACACACACACACACACCACACACACACACACACCACACACACACACACCACACACACACACACCACACACACACACACCACACACACACACACACACAACACACACACACACACCACACACACACACACCACACACACACACACACACACACACACCACACACACACACACACCACACACACACACACACCACACACACACACACACAACACACACACACACACACACAACACACACACACACACACCACACACACACACACACACACACAACACACACACACACACCACACACACACACACAACA